CTGGCTGGTTGGGTAGACTGATGGGTAGCTGGCTGGCTGGATCTACTCCTGGCAAACGTCTCACCTCTCTTGTTAGGGTTTCCAGACACATCACCATAGGCTTAGTGTCTTAAAACAATAGAAATGAACCGGCTGTGCTGCTCCTGCCTGTCAGCCCAGCTCTCAATGTGAAATGGAAGGTCAGTGTAAATTCAAGGCTAGCCTGGGCTACATAGTGAGTCCAAACAGCCTGAGAAAAAGTTAAAGCCCCTGCGTATAAATAAATATATAAACAAGCACAAAATATAAAAAATAGACTCCAAAGTTAAGGTGTTGATAACCTGAGCCCCTCCAGAGGACTAGAAGAGAACCTGTCCTTCAGTGGCTTGACGATGCCTCCTCCGGTCTTTGTCACCATCTCTGTGTGACCTTTGCTCTATCTGTGTGTCTCAGATTTCCTCCTCTCTCAAAAGCTGTCCATCTTCAGATGCAGGACGCATCTTAAAACTTGTGTGGTCTCTTCTTGAAATCCTGCACTACATCTGTAGTTCTCTGCTTTCCAAATAAGATCAACCTCGGTGCAAGAGTGGACCACACTCCCTCCCCTGGCTCTCCCGGAGCTGTGCTCTGGCCGTCTGCTGTCTGCTTCCTGCGACATGCCAGATTCATTCCCCACTCAGAGCTCTGCCTTTGCAGCCCCTCCAGTGAGAACACTCTTCTTTCTGATTCTCATGTGGCCACTTCCAGCCCATCCTTCAGGTCTCAGATAAAGATGACCTCTTCACTAAAGCCTGTCTTGTAACCACTCAGGCAAAGGAATCTGCTCCCACTCCACGCTTACTGTCTCCCATAATTCCACAGTGTCATTCTCCTGGGATTTTTGTTGTTTGTTTAGACTTATTTATTTCGTTTTATTTGCCTACATATGTGCATGTGTACTGTGTGCATGCCTAGTGCCTATGGAGGTCAAAGAGGGCATCCTCTAGCACTGGAGTTAGGGGTGGATTGTGAGCCACTGTGCAGGTGCTGGAAACCAAATCTGTAAGAGCAGCAAGTGATCGTAACCACTGAGCCATCTCTCCAACTCCTCTCCTGTTTGATTATCTCTTGTACTGTTCCTCTAGTACATTCCCAAAACTTACTGTAAAATCTGGAATATGATAGGTATTTTAAAATATGTGTCAAAAGAATGAATGGCTTTTAATGAACTAAAAGCCATTTGTTTCCTGAGACAAGGTCTTATTCTATAGCTCAGTCTGTCCAGAAACTCACTGTTAGTCCTAGAGACTTTGAATTCAAGGAAATCCTCCTGCCTTAGTCTCTTGGGTACTGGGATGGTGTGTGCCACTATGTCATCGGAGTGGATGGATTTTTAAGGGGAGTGATAATCCCTTGGCCCAATGTAAATGACTCATAAAGATAGAACAGCAGACACAGGAGAGGCTGCTGTGCTCTGGAGTGCCCCCTGCAGGCCTTATGGTGTACTAGCATACAAAGGAATCGGGAGAGAATAAAGTGTCACACGGACTCAGGAAGCAGGACAGACTTTAACACTTGCCATTTCTATCTGAACCTTCCTTAAATTAGACTTAGTCACTAGATTTAGAATCTTCTGGAACCTGGAAATTCTACTAAATCCCCAGAAGATTACACTAAGCTCCCAAACCTTTAGTCCTCTTTGAGTCCAAGGAGCCCTCCACCAGTGGCCCCCAGAGGCTGTTTGCTCAGGCTGGGAGGTTCCTGTTTTCCTTTTGCCTCCTGACAGCAGCTCTTGGCCCTCAGGAGTGAGAGAGTCTCCTGGGCTGCTGAGTTGGCAGGACTTTGTTGTTTCAGGAAAGTCTTGGGTAAAGGGTGGCTCCCCAGAGAAAATCCAGGCAGGTGCTATGGGGCAGGCTCTCCTACTTTATACTCTGTATTCCTAACCCAGAGAACCCCGGCCAGGGGATGGAACTCCTCCGAAGCACTCTCCCTGCAAATAGCAGCTCAGACAGAGAAAGAAGAGCTTCACTCTCCCTGCCTCTTCACCCTTCCCCCCCCATTCCCTCTTCCCCCCTCCCTGCAGAGAGACAAAACTTTAATACTATTGACCCCACCCTCCTGGTTTTAGAAAGGAAGGTACCATGGCCCTGGAGATTGTCCAAGGACACCATGCTCCATCAGTGCTAACCTATTAGGGCCCTGCTCATCAGAATAAACTTTGTGAAGCACCTCTGTTCAAGTGAATTACCTGTCAAATCTGTGAGGGCTACTGCTTCCTATCTTCTTTGGTCCCTCTCAAGCCTGATCCATGGTTAAAGTCAGAATGTCTCCCATTCTAGGGTAAAAGGAATCCCCAGAGGCAGTAGCTGTGCAGTCCCTTGGCATATCCCTAGGGACCCATGCCTCTCCTGGGCCTTTCCTGGGGCTGGCAGACACAGGCAGTAGTAAGTAGTCCCCACTCCCAATCTAATGCTCAGTTTGTGCTTTGACTGATAGAGATCAATTGATCAAACAAATGAATTCCAGTTGCATTCGTTCAGTCAGCACTGAATCACCGTGGGACAGACTGGGGGTTCAAAGTGGGGAAACATAAAGGCAGAAGCAAAAATCAGTGGGGTCTGCATGCCAACAGTGCTATGTAAAGCTCTTAGGAAGGCTCGAGCAAGGCATTCTTCTAGAAAAAAGGGGGTGCAGGTAAGGGGTTACAGGCAAGGGGGTGCAGGCAAGGGGGTGACTCAATTCGTAAGGTCCTTGCCATGCAATCATGAAGATCTAAACTCAGATCCTCCATATGACGTTTTAAAAAAAAGGGAAACAAAGTAGTACATGGTAGTGCGTAACGTTGCTCAAGCCCCTGGGAGGCTTAAACAGGTGAATCTCTGAGTCTAAGCCTTGCCTGGACTATATAGCTAATTCCAGGACGGGCAGAGCTACACAGTGAGACTCTCAATAAACAAACAAACAAAAACAAGATGTACAGAAGAATCTTTCACCCAATATCTGCCTTTGGCCTCTACACATAAATGCGCATCTATGTGCATTTACACACTTATGCACACATTGTGTGAAACTGTATATAACACACATACACACACACTATCGAGCACATAGGTATCAAATGTAAGGTGTGATTTAAGAGACTAGCTTCTGTTACTCCTCACAGGTAATTTAACATCTCATGCTGAAAATTTTCAACATGTCTAGACACACGGGTTATAGGACTTGGGACTCTGTTGATAAAGAAAGGAAACACTTGCCAAGTGCAGTGACACACAGTCTCAGCACTTGGGAGGTGGGGGCAGGCAGAGCAGGGGTTCAAAGCCACCCTCAGTCACATAGTCAGCTGAAGGGCATCCAGGGTCACAGGAGCACTGTACCAGACAGACACTGTACCAAAGGCACACATCCACACAAGGCAATGAGGACGTCTTCAGTTCATCCAACCCTGAGTATGGATGGCCTTCCCTACTGCCTAACTTGATTGCTTCTCCTAGTCAGTTTTGCTTTCTCTGTAGTCTGACTTGAAATTTTCTTTCTTCCACAGCAGGAGATATACATCCTGAGAGCCTGTGTAACTCTGAGTGTTTTTTTATCTGCATGTCTGTTCCCCTGCCTAAGTTTACTGTTTCTTCTTTCTTTTCCTCAGGAAATTCAAAGGTCACTGAATCTCACCACTGGGCCCTTTGTCCCTTTTGGTTCTCATAGGGACACCTTCTCCACACGCCACTTGCACCCTGTCCACACAATTGTCCTTCCCCAAGATCATTTTCTTCCCTGCCTTCCCAGACCAGCTGCCATGCCAGCTCTGGGCAGCTGCACCTGGTATCTGTAATCACAGCTCAGTCCCTCTGAATCCCTGGTCCTCGGACCCACCCTATACATAAGCACCAAATTCTCTTCCTTGAATCGACTTTGCTAGCCACTGAGCTATCCCAAAAGCTTGATACTGCTTAGAAAGAACTCAGTTCACACTTCTGGGTTTGGGCTCACTGGGCCCAACTATGACTATTGCCTGGGGGCCCTCTCACCACGCCTCTGTTGTCTCCTCCCTGGGCATCTGTGACAGCCCCAGCAAAAACACTACAAACTCAAGTACTTGCTTGCATCCAGTCTCATTCACTAGGATGGACCACATCACAAAGCCTGGGTACATTTGTAAATGTGTTTATTTATCAACTAAAACCTGGTGGAAATACATTCCTAACAACAGGAGGCCCCAACAGCGCCTTGTTTTTTGATGAACATTGGACAAACAGCTCCTTGGTTGTGATTTCAGTGTATATATTTAGTCTACTACTTCTTATTTGCAGTGCTAGAGACCAAACTCAGACCTAGGGCATGCACAGCCAGCTCTCAAACTCTGCATCCCTCCAGCTGGACAGTCTTTTCTTTCACATTTCTGTTTGAATAGAAATTCAAGAAGAGCCGGGCAGTGGTGGCACACGCCTTTAATCCCAGCACTTGGGAGACAGAGGCAGGTGGATTTCTGAGTTCGAGGCTAGCCTGGTCTACAGAGTGAGTTCCAGGACAGCCAGGGCTATACAGAGAAAAGAAAAGAAAAAAGAAATTCAAGAAGAAATGACATTGAGTGGGAAAGAGAAGAGGCGGTGGAAAGAGCAAAGCTAGGCTGTTTAGAGAGATACTGATTAGTAGCTGGGGGTTCAAGCTCTGGTCCCAACTCGACCACTTGCTAGTTGCATAACCCTGCAAAGTAATTTCCGTCTCTGTGCTTCAGTTGCTTCACCTATAACATAGAGTTAATAGAACCACCTGAATCCCCATGGGTTTGGTAGAGATTAAATGGTGTGTGAGTAAATACATCAGGCATATTGTCTGCGGGCTCACTCTTACCTCATACATTTTTTCCTTACCTCACATTCCCAAGGAGCTCTGCTGAACACTGTCTTTCTCCCCCGATTCACAGGACGACATCCCCGTCGAGGATACCCGAATGTGATGAAGAGCTCAGGGTACCAGTGATGGGACCACTGGAGAAATCACCTTGGAAACAGCAGCAGTAATAGCAGCAGTAGCAGTTCATGAAGCCACTGCAGAAACAGAATACACTGAGCATCTGGAGACAGCCCAGGATGCAGGGTGGATTATTCCCTGTAGGCAACACCAACTATTGCCTCATTAGAGATGAGAGCTGAGGACAGTAGAGTTTTATCAACTTGAGTTTGTGTCATTTGATGCACTGACTCAAAGTTAAATATACTTAAAGTAATTTGTGTCTACTCTACAGCCATACTGGCCTTCCTGTTGACCCCCACGTCTTCCCGCAGCCGACCTCCCAACCTGGCTCTTGTTGAACTTGTGTAACAAGTTACGGCCTTTCCCTATTGTTCTAATGTTTTTAATGGTTCTCAGATGTAACTTAAAACTAATTTTAGGTAGATAAAGAGGATAGTCTTGTGGAGAATAAAATCTTCTTAAGTTACAGAGACCTGAAAACATATCAAAGCCCTCACAACGATCTTTCAACTTGCTCCAAATGGGAAACAGCCACCAGTTTCAAAAACTCAAAGAGATATTTATTAAAACATTTAAAAACTTGTTCCTGCCTGTTGCAAGGGCAGAAGCTTTCGAGAACAAGGGGAGGTGATTGGTCCATCTCATCCCATCCTGCCTTGGTACAGGAACTCCCACAGAGAGGCAGGATATCAGATTTGGTGGCTTTGTACTTCATCTCCCCCCACTCCCCAGCTCCCCAAGGTGCAACAGTATGCCTGCATTGCTCCAAGCA